CCCTCTTTCCCTCTCTCTCTCCCTCCCTCCCTTCCTCTCCCCTCTCTCCCTCCCTCCTTCCTCTCCCCTCCTTCTCTCTCCCTCTCTCCCTCCCTCCCTCTCTCCTTTCTTCCCTCTCTCCCTCTCTCCCCTCTCTTGCAGTCCCCAGTGCCTACTGTTCCCATCTTTATGTCCATGAATACCCAAAGTTTAGCTCCCACTTATGAATTGGGAAGATGTAGTTTTGGGTTTTCTGCTTCAGCATTAATTGACTTAGGATAATGGCCTCCAGCTGCATCCATGTTGCTGAAATTGCATTCTTATTTTTGTATCTCTTCTTGTTTCTTGGTTTCCCTAAAAACTCCTTATTAAAATAGGGTCTGAAAATTACAGTTCGTCTAGTAGTAATCCACCACCATCATACAGGAGACTGATCGGTGTGGTGGTAAGGTGTCTGTGTGGTGGGGGGAATATCCTATAATCAGAGTTAGTTCTCAGTCTTTTAGTGAGCCTGTGTGCCTGGGCTGACAAGTGCTTCTCACGTTACCTTCTCCCGCCTAAGGTGGGACTGGAAGGCTAGAGGGCTGCGGTTGGGTGTTTCCCTTCTGATACAGTTTGGGTATTTGTCGCCTCCAACTCATGCTAAAATGTGATTCCCAGTGTTGGAGGTGGGGCCTGGTAGGAAGTGTTTGGGGGCCAGATGCCTCATAAAGGCTTGTTGTCTCTGCACTAATGCGTGAGTTCTTACTCTATTACTACAGTTCTCACAAGAGCTGGCGGGAGAGCTGGTTGTTAAAGAGTCTGGCACTTCCCTCCCCTCTCTCTCTTGCTCTCTCTCTCTCCATGTGATGTGCCTGCTCCCCTTTGCGTTCCACCGTGAGTGACAGCTTCCTCAGGCCTCACTAGAAGCTGAGCAGATAGATGCTGCCACCATGCTTCCTGCACAGCCTGCAGATATGTGAGCCAAATAAACCCCTCTTCTTTATAAACTACCCAGTCTCGGGTATTCTTTTATAGCAATGCAAAATGGACTAATGCATCTTTCTCCAGGTCAGTTAGGCACTGGTAAAGCAGAAAATGAGGCTTGATAAAATGGTTTGCGTTGAGAGCAAACCATTGCTAAGGAGTGCTCCGACTTATTTCAAGATGATTATTTCCCCTTCTCCCTACCTGAAGCTTGAGGAGATTTTTCTCAGAATCTGGCAAGTTTCCTGGAGGTGATCTGTGATTCTCAGTAATTTCTAGTTGTATTTTTGTGGGGAGAGTGATGCCAGGGATCTTTTATTCCACTATCTTGCTGATCTCACACTCTCCCCCTAGTGTCTTTATTTTCTCTCATGTTCTTCCTCCCTAAGGGAATCTATCTCTTCTGCAGAGGTGGAGTGGGGTATCGAGATAGACATCTGGAAGTCTAACTGTTCCTACACACAGTGTCAACCCCCCTATGTTTAGTATCAGACTTCATCCCTTTCCACTAATTTGTAATACTTGATGTTTCTAATTCCCAAATATTTGTCGGGTTCAGGGTGAACTGGCTTGCTTCTTGTCCTTTTGCTTTCTTAAATCCCTGTTTTTCAGGCACATACATTAGGTTATCTTCCAAATGACTCAGTGCCTTACCATTTTTACATTAGCTTTCCATCTTCATACATTATGTTTCGAGAATGACAAATGAGTTTCGGGTTGCTAGTTTGGTGGTCTCTGAAAAGTGAGACATAAAAGAGATGTACTAAAGTTACAGAATCCAGTAGTGCTAGTTTTAAGGAAACATGTTACCAGGGTGCACACACAGTACATATACTCTCTGAGGTCCAGGGGACTTGTGGCTGGAGGCCGCAAGGGTTTGTGAGGCTGAAAACCACCACTATGGGAATGCAAAGTTAAGAAGTACACTCCTATCAGGAAGTAAATTCCATGATATGCAAGGGAAAAGAGGAGGCATGTAATTCTCATAATCTTTAGGTTTACTATTAATTATTTACAAGAGACTGGAGCTGAGAAAAAGAGACGAAAGTTTTTTAAGCCACTCTCCTCCCCAGTTCTAATGTTCTATGATTCTGAAGGAAGTTTCTCAAAGCCTGAGTAACACAGAGATTGCTTTCTTGTTTCCACACCTGACCTCTCTAGCAGGCCTTTTGGGTATTCTGCCTAACGACCTAATGAATTACAGAGGTTACTGCACTTTCCCAATCTTCCCTAGTACACTACATAAGACCTAGAAGAAATGCATATAAAAATGTGGGCTCTATATACAGTATTTAACACTGCTTTACAGCTTTTACTTATGGCAGTGGTGGTATGCTTCCATACAAGAGGCTTTGGCTGTCAACAGACACCATTACAAAGGAAATAATTCAAATATAAAAGTAAATTGTATTTGCTGCTTTGGGTTTGTAAATGGAAATCAGGTTCAAGTTTTTGGAAAGGGGTATAAGTAATTCCACTATACGAACAGTCTTCAACTGTGGGATTACGTAGAATATAGAGATAGAGAAGGAAAAAGAGTTTGTCTAAATTGCTTATTAAGTTTCAAAAAACTAAGAGATTCTGAGCATTGGCTAAAGTGAGCAATGTGTCATATTGTCATCTGTCCTCAGGCCACTCCAAGCTTTCTTACAGTTGCTAAGCCCAATGCCACTTCACCTGTTGCCACAGCCTCACCTATACAGTCATCTCCTGGTATCCACAGGGGATTACTTCCAGGATCCCCTGTGAATAACAAAATCCACAGATGCTCAAGCACCTTATAAAAAATGGTGTAATATTTGCACATGACATACACATATCCTCCTGTATACCTTAAATCATCTCTAGGCTACTTATAATATACAATGTAAATGCTATGTAAATAGTTGTTATTCTGTATTGTTTAGGAAACAGTGACAGAGTCTGTCATGTTCAACACAGATATAAGCATCATTTTGCCCCCAGATATTTTCAGTCCAGGGTTGGTTGAATCTATGGATGTGGAAACCACAGATACAAAGGGCTGACTATAGCAACAATTTATAAATCAGATGTAAACAGGCTGGGCGGGGTGGCTCATGCCTATAACCCCAGCACTTTGGGAGCTGGAGGCAGGCAGATAACCTGAGGTCAGGAGTTCAAGACCAGCCTGGCCAACATAGTGAAACCTGTCTCTACCAAAAACTACAACAATTAGCTGGGTATGGTGGTGGGCATCTGTAATCCCAGCTATTCAGGAGGCTAGGGCAGGAGAATCGCTCGAACCTGGGAGGCAGAGGTTGCAGTGAGCCAAGATCACACCACTGTACTCCAGCCTGAGCAGCAAGAGACTCCATTAAAAAAAAAAAAAAAAAAAAAATGTCAAGTCTCAGTGCATCTTAAAATAAATGCCATTAACATTACTTCTAGACTGCAAATCCAATCTTCTCCAGTCCCCAACCTTCGGGCAGGTTTTGTGGAAAACAATCTTTTCAGGGACCAGAGGAAGAGGTAGTTTTGGGATGATTCAAACGTATTACATTTACTGTGTACTTTATTTCTATTATTATTATATCATGATATATAACGAAATAATTATACAGCTCGCTGTAATGTAGAATCAGCGGGAGTCCTGAGCTTGTTTTCCTGCAACTAGATGGTCCCATCTGGGGGTGACAGGCGACACTGACAGATC